GTGTGTGTGTGTGTGTGTGTGTGTGTGTGTGTGTGTGTGTGTGTGTGTTTTAAGGATTAAGCTCAGGTCATTAGGCTTTTATCAAAAATCTTTAAGATGGAAAATTCAAACACTTCCTTCAATAGAGTCCACAAGTGGCAGAGATAGCAGTTATTGCAAAAAGGAAAGTGGAGTGGGGGCAAACGAAACATGACTTAGAGTTGGGAGGACAAAGGAGTGAGAAAGGGGAGTGAGGAGCTGGTCCCCCCATCCCTTATATTCCTACCGCGGAGGTGCTGCAGTGATCCTGCCATTGTCTCTTTCTCCAGGATGGGTCCAGGAACCCTCAATGATTCAGGAACCCCAGAGTTCCTGCTGCTGGGACTGTGGGCTCCACCTCCTCTGCGCCCCTTACTGTGGGCCTCACTTCTCCTGGCGTACCTCGCCACGGTGTTGGGCAATGGTGCCCTAGTGGGCCTGATAGCTCTGGACAGACGACTACACCGGCCGATGTACCGCCTGCTGACCCACCTGGCCCTGCTGGACACTGCCTATGTGAGCACCACGCTGCCACAGGCGCTGGCACACATGGCCATGCACCATGCTCGCCTCTCCCTGGCGCGCTGCGGGGCGCAGCTGTATGTGGGCATCTCCCTGGGCAGTTGCGAGGCCATCCTTTTGGCTGCGATGGCCCTGGACCGCTGCCTGGCTGTGTGCAAACCCCTGCATTATGCGACCCTGGTAACCGCGCCCCGCTGCGCAGCGCTGGCTGGAGCATCCTGGACACTGGGCTTTGTACTCTCTGTACCCAATGCAGTGGCCGCACTGCGCCTGCCCTTCTGCCCTGGGAGGCCTGCAGTGGACCACTTCTTCTGCGAGCTGCCGGCGGTGCTGAGGACAGCGTGTGCAGACACCACAGCCAACTACGGGCTGGTCTACGGCCTGGGTGTGCCCATCCTCCTGGTACCCTTCGCCCTCATCCTAGCCTCCTATACCTGGATTCTGACTGCAGTGTGCAAGTTGCCTTCGACTGGGAGTCGTCGGAAGGCCCTGTCGACCTGCAGCTCCCACTTGGCGGTGGTAGGGCTCTTCTATGGCACAGTGAGCGCCATGTACCTGCGGCCCCGAGCCTCTGCTGCTCTTCCTGCCAGACATCATAAGCTGGTGGCCGTTTTCTACCTGGTTGTCACTCCTGTCCTCAACCCACTCATCTACAGTCTTCGAAACCGTGATGTCCACCTGGCAGCCCGGTATGCCCTGGCTCGGCTCCGGGGGATGTGTACTGGGTTGCCCTAAACCACTTGGGAGGGGGGGGAACAAAGATTTCGTTCAATTCTGATCCCTTCAAATTCTGTGGGAACAGCTTTCTTTTTATTTTACCTTTTTTGAGAGAAGGTCTCAGTAGGTTGCCCTAGCTAGCCTGGAACTCATTAGGTAGACCAGGTTGGCCTCAAACTCACAGAGATCCACTTGCCTTTGCCTCCTGAGTGCTGGGATTAAACAGGTGTGCCATTATACAGAGATTTTTATGTAAACCTTAATATAATATTTTATTGACCTTTTGGTAACTTCTCAGACTGTATTTTGATCACACCCATCACCTATTCCTCTCCCTAGCTCCTCCCAGATGCACCCCACCAACTCCCAACTTAAGAAACAACACGCCCCAGCCCCCTCAGTACAGTTTTCATTCATCAGGGTGGGGCCGTTTAATGGAGCATGGCCTACCTACTAGGGTTTTGTCTGTTTGTTTGTTTTTTGAGACAGGAATTCTCTGTAGCCTTGGGGCCTGACCTGGAACTAGCTTTCATGGGTCTCGAACTCATAGAGATCTGTTTCTTACTAGGGCTTTGTGCATCCCAGGATCCCAGGCAAACACTCCCCTACATCCCCAGTCCTGCTAGCTTGTTTAAATAAAGAAGTAGATGATAAATATTTTCAGAGTTGCTGTGGCTACTTCATTTCTGTTACTGTGAAGAGAGAGAAACTACAGATAAAGCCACAGAGGAGATTGGTGCTGCATCCAGAAGCTATTAGTGGACACTGCTCTGGTCACTCCATTCTGTCTGTGCATCCCAAAGTCAGCAGGGAGGGTACTGGGAGGGTCTGGAGGGAGGAAAAGGAACGGGGAAAGCAATGTAATTCTCATTTTAAGTAAAATGCGTAAAATATTGGAAAGGTAAATAAAAGTATTTATTTTATGCACATGTGTGTGTGTGCCTGAGTGTTAGTATGTGCACTGTGTACACCCAGAAGATGCTGGATACTCTTGAACTGAAGTTTCAGATGATTGTGAGTACCACGTGGATGCGGGGATTCAAACTTGGGTCCTCTGTAAGAGCAAACAGTGCTCTTAACTACTGAGTCATCTCTCCAACATTTATTTATTTATTTATTTATTTATTTATTTATTTATTTATTTATAAGCCGGGGTTTCTCTATGTAACCCTGGCTGTCCTGGAACTCACTAGGAAGACCAGGCTGGCCTCAGACTCACAGAGATCCACCTGCCTCTGCCTCTTTAGTGCTGGGATTAAAGGTGTGCCCCATTACTGCTGGCTTCTTTTACTTTTTCAATTACTGAAAAATGTAAAAATAGTTTGAATATAACCTTTTTTTGAAAATGACAGAAATTCTTTATTATGTAAATTTAGGTAAATTTACCTATATATGCCCTATAGACCCAGAAGTGTATGTACCACAAGAGAACTGATAAATGACTTTTTTATTATTATTTTATAAATAATATCAATCAAAATTTCCACTTTCTCCACTCCTCCCACTTCCCTCCTGCTCCCCCACACACCCTCTCACCTCCTCCCTAGTCTTGAGACGAAGATACCCTGCCTTGTGGGAAGTCCAAGGCCCTCACCCCTTCATCCAGGCTTAGGAAGATATGCATCCAAATAGAATAGGATCCCAAAAAGCCAGTACATGTAGTAGAGACAAATCCCAGTGCCATTATCATTGGCTTCTCAGTCTGCCTTAATTGTCAGCCACATTCAGAGGGTCCAGTTTGATTCCATGCTCATTCAGTCCCAGTCCAGCTGGCTTTGGTGAGCTCCCATTAGATCGGGCACACTGTTGCAGTGGGTGGATCAACCCCTCATGGTCCTGACTTCCTTGCTTATATTCTCCCTCCTTCTGCTCTTCAACTGGACCTTGGGAGCTCATTTCCAGTGCTCCGATGTGGGTCTCTGTCTCTATCTTCATCTGTCACCAGATGAAGGTTCTATGGTGATATTCAAGATAGTCATCAGTCTGACTATGGAACAAGGCCAATTCAGGCACCCTCTCTTCCACTGCCCAGGGTTCTAGCTGGGGTCGTCCCCGTGGACTCCCGGGAAACCTTCCGGAGCCAAGCCTCTTGCCAACCTCAAAATTGCTCCCTTAATTAAGATCTCCTTCCCTGCTCCCATATCCACCCTTCCTCCATCTCAACCATCCCATGTCCCCAAGCTTTCCCAACCCTCCCCTTCTCCCCTCTCTCTTTCCTTTTCCCCTTCCCCCACCCCACCCCCATCCCTGTTCTCCCAACTTTTGTCTGGCGATCTTATATACAAAGGATAAAGAAACTGAGAGGGAATTCAGAGAGACATCACCTTTCATGATAGCCACAAATAGCATAAAGTATCTTAGGATAATTCTAACCAAGGAAGTGAAAGATCTATTTGACAAGAACTTTAAGTCTTTGAAGAAAGAAATTGAAGAGGATACCAGAATATGGAAAGATCTCCCATGCTCTTGGATTGGTAAGATCAACATAGTAAAAATGACAATTCTACCAAAGGCAATCTATAGAGTCAATGCAATTCCCATCAAAATCCCAACAAAATTCCTCATAGACCTTGAGAGAACAATAATCAACTTCATATGGAAAAACAAAAAACCAAGGATAGCCAAAACAATCCTACACAATAAAGGAACTTCCAGAGACATTACCATCCCTGACTTCAAACTCTATTATAGAGCTACAGTAATGAAAACAGTTTGGTATTGGCATAAAAACAGAGATGTTGACTAATGGAATTGAATCAAAGACCCAGATATTAATCCACAAACCTATGAACACCTGATTTTTGACAAAGAAACTAAAATTATACAATGGAAGAAGGAAAACATCTTTAACAAATGGTGCTGGCATAACTGGATGTCAACCTGTAGAAGAATGAAAGTAGATCCATATCTATCACCATGCACAAAACTCAAGTCCAAATGGATTAAAGACCTCAATATAAATCTGGCCACATTGAACCTGATAGAAGAGAAAATGGGAAGTAGCCTGCAACACATGGGCACAGGAGCCCACTTCCTATGTATAACCCCAGTAGCACAGTCAATAAGAGCAACAATGAATAAATGGGACCTCCTGAAACTGAGAAACTTCTGTAAAGCAAAGGACACTGTCATTAAGACAAAAAGACAACCTACTGAATTTGAGAAGATCTTTACCAACTCCACATCAGACAAAAGTCTGATCTCAAAATATATAAAGAACTCAAGAAACTAGACATTAAAATTCTAAATAACCCAGTTAAAAATGGGGTATTGAACTGAACAGAGAATTCTCAACAGAAGAATTTCAAGTGACCAAAAGATACTTAAGGTCATGTTCAACTTCCTTAGTGATCAGGGAAATGCAAATCAAAACAACTTTGAGATACCATCTTACACCTGTCAGAATGGCTAAAATAAAAAAAAAAAACCAATGATAGCTCATGCTGGAGAGGATGTGGAGTAAGGGGAACATTCATCCATTACTGGTGGAAATGCAAACTTGTGCAACCACTTTGAAAATCAGTGTGGTGGTTTCTCAGAAAATTGGGAATCAATATACCCCAGGATCCAGCAATACCACTCTTGGAAATATACCCAAGAGATGCCCAATCATACTACAAAGGCATTTGTTCAACTATGTTCATAGCAGCATTATTTGTAGTAGCCAGAACCTGGAAACAACCTAGATGCTCCTCAGTGGAAGAATGGATAAAGAAAGTGTGGCACATCTACACATTAGAGTACTATTCAGCAGTAAAAAAAAATGAAATTTTGAATTTTGCATGCAAATGGATGGAAATAGAAAACACTTTACTGAGTGAGATAAACCCAGACCTAAAAATATGAATATGGTATATACTCACTCATAAACAAAAGACATTGAGCCTATAGTTCGTGATCCTAGAGAACCTAAGTAATAAGGTGAACTGAAAGGAAAACATATATAGATCCTCCTGGAAATTGGAAGCCATGTTTTTAACTAGCCCTGACATCAGGCAAAATACAAACTCAACAATATTATTCTTAGAAACCCAAATGTGATGAAGCAGGCTGTTATCTTGGCACTAGTAAAGCAAAGAAACACTGAAAACTCATCACTTACCACAATGGCTTTAATATAGATGTTCTTACTCAACTGTACCATATACTTTGATCACAGCCACCGCTAAAATCTTTTCTTTCTGCCCCCTGCCCCAGTCTTTTGGTCCTCTGTGATAGGTTTCTGTACCCCGATAAAAGGTTTCTCCACTGACGCAGCAAACCAGATCAAACTGAATTAAAAGGTAAAGACCAGGTTTATTTGGCAAAGCCCTTCTGGGTGACCCTCCAGGCCCCAGAGATCAGGACATGGAAAGGGGGCTGGAGAAAAATCACATGGCTGGTCTAAAGGAGGGGCTTACATACCCTATAAGAGTGGGAGAGGGATGATGGCATGTTCTCCACAAGTTGGGTTCAGGGTTTATGCCTAAGTATGGCATACTTTTAGATGGGGCCTGGAGCAGCTGTCAGCTTTGTGTGTCCAGGAATCGCAGACCACGGAACTGAACCTTTTTGTTGGTTTTTCTGAGAGGGTGGGGTTTGCCGAGAGAAACCTGGATCAAGCAGGGGCGAGCTGGAAATTCTAGCCGAACACTCTGTATTTCTCTGTCCTGAAAACAAGACTAGGAATGCTTTGATTTTTTCCCCCCGGTTAATAAAATGTTTGGCTATGTTATAAATATGTTATATGTTATAAATCTTTTATTGTCTTGACACATCTTTCTATTCTGAGTTTTTCAGGACTTCTATCATAAAGGAGTGTTGGTTTAAAAAACATTTAATTTTTAGTTATGTGTATATGTGTGTCTGGTGTGGATATGTACACATGAATGCTGGTGTTCACAGAATACAGAGAAGGGCAGATCTCCTGGCTCTGCTGTTACAGGCTGTTGTGAGAGCGGAACTCATGTCCTGGGCAAGCACAGTCCAGGATCTTAACCACTGAGCCTTCTCTCTAGACTCTAATCTTAATTTGTAGAAAGCCATAT